TCGATCTGCGCTAAAGATGCCAGTTTCAAACATGCTGCTCATAAGTGAACTGTGCTGGACGTGTTTGTTTGAGCAGCTGTATTTTATAGCTGTCATCAAACGTGCACCATTTCCTCTTCTACTCATCTGGGGGCTGAAGTGGATTAACTGCAGACTATTTCGAAGTTTGCCCCTGTACGGAGGGCTCGGCTTTTAACAAGTTTGACCTGACTCATAATAACAGTCGCCTGCTGGATAGTTACAGTGCTCGCATTCTGTAAAATCACCAACTTCAAACGCTTTATACCCGGGGCAAGACTAAGGTGTGAATAATCAGGACCAGAGCATCACAACTCACCAGGAAACGAGTACCACACATGGATATCATCAATATATTGGGTGGAATACATGGATCGGCAGAGAGTTCAAAGGTTAGGGATAAATCATTTTCCCCCTCCCCCCGATGGCTTGAGAAATGAATGTGTTGTATGGATTTCCCTCAATCAACATCAACAACAAAACAACAATTTGCATTTATATAGCGCCCTTCACGCCAGAAGGTGTTTCGGAGCGCTTAACAGTGGCAGAGGCCGATGTCGAGCCAGGGGGAGGGGGGATGTGACCATAGGCACGGTCAAAGAGGAAGACATTCAAACGTGACCTGAAAATGGGGAGAGGGGGGGCAAGGTGGAGTGTAGGCAGCGAGTAGTAGTCTGGGGAGAGAGCAGGTTGGAGAGATTAGGGTGCCAGGGCATGAAAGGATTTATATACAAGAATGAGCATCTTGAAATCGATCTGCTATGTCACAGGGAGCCAATGGAGTTTAACAAGGACTGTGGTAATGGAGGTACAGAGTTTTGTGCCGGTGAGAATGCGGGAGGCGGAGATTAGAATTAGCTGAAGTTTTGATTAGTGGAGTAAAGGAGACACCCGAGGAGGGATTTGAGTTATTAACCAACTAGTAATTATGGACAGATACCCTATCACTTGTAGAAAGATTACTCAGGTTAGATACATCCTCTCGGAGTCCCATTACAAATATCCTCCTCCTCTCAGACTCACAGGGATAACAGACACCACCACCGTGTCCATTCCTTTAGATAGCCAGGGAAACAGGCGACTTCAATGAGCAGACCGACAAAATCAGTACAGAAATTGGATGGACACCAATGCAAACATTTAATCAAACAAAACAAATATTATCTCACCAATGGTCACTCCCTTGCAATCACTGATCTCAGAAGCTCACAAACGTGAGGACCAGGCCAAAACCTTTGCGTGTCTGAAGAGAGATGGCAATTTTACCAAAAGCTGACTTGTTCAAACACACTGCTTGTTTCTTAAAGGGCCAAGTGCTTGTGAATCCAAATGTCTAAATCTTTCTAATTTATTCCAGCCCAAACAAATATTGGCTAAACTGAATTAATACAGATCCAGAAAATTAGCCTGCTAAACTGGTTCTATTTGTAATTATTAACTACATGGCCAAAATAATAGATTTGGTGCAAGTATTAATGAAATAATACAGGACAGATAATTCATTTGAAATTCCAGTGGCCCAGAATTATTTTTCACCCTGTGGATAGAGTTGAATAGCTTAACTATGAAACTATGCAGGTTTTTTTTAAATGGAGATTGATAATCGGAAATGTGGCCTTAATATGCCCAGTACTATATTCACTACTGGTCTGTGCTAATGTGATTCTGGTCAGTACTTAGAGCAGAGGCTAGTAATGTAATCGTGCACAGCTCACATTCCCAGAGATCAATCTCTGCCATGAAAAGTGGATGCCTTTAAATATAATTGTATTAGGAATACGGATGTTTTGAAGTGTAAGCTGCTTATGCTCTATGCAGGAAAAAGAGACAGGAAATGAACGGTAGGTTCATTGTGGTTTTAATCATGCACAATCAGATAGCCTTGATGGTATCTTCCGATCTCTTGTTGTTCAGACAATTCAACGCATGCTGAAGTTAAGTTTATCCTTTTTTATTTGGATTGCTGATTTAGATCATCTCGTCTAACATGTGATTGCCATATGGACATGTAAAAAAAACTAGAGGTCTGAAATGTCGCCTAATCTTTGCCTGTAAGACAGTTTTGTCTCAAAATTGAAGATAACTCAAAATTATAGAAACATTTAAGTCTTATTTTTGAAGTCTCTGTTCTGCAGTTCTTAAAAAAAACTTTCAAGTTGAGACAGAAATTCAAAATCTTTCACAATTCTGCGTCTACCTGGTCGATGCCAGTGTCTGCACCTCACATGAGCCTTCCATCTCTCCTAATGTTTTCGCAAAGCTGCCCTCCATACCTCTGGATTCCCTTCTCCCTAACTGGTGATAAACAAGGTTGAAACAGTCAATAATTAAAGACTATTCTGCGGGAGGGCTAATCTCCTCCTCCCCAGTGTTCGTCAATGAATAATGTTTCTCATGCCAAAAGGTTTATTATGTACTGCATGTCAAAGGTCCACTGGTGCAAAGAAATTTGTTGGACATCTCTTTGAGCAATGAGGTCTCCAGCATTAAGTATTGAGAGCTCTGTACACTGGACCAGTTAAGCAGAGAGAGCTGTGTGGTGTTGGACAGTCAGCTTTTACACTCCCCATTAATGACCACCTGTACATTATTGCCAAAGAGTCTTATTCTTCAGGCCCATTTTGAAGAGTAAGACTGAAAGGTATATACATGGAACTGACTGGACTCGGGACATTTGGAAAGAATGTTACATGGCAGAAACCCTGCCTGACTTGACTCACCAAACCAGAAACCTCTGATGTGCTCTCTAATACCAGCCCGTCATATCAGACAAACAATGTGCCATGGAATCTCCGGTGATCCCAACTAAATCTTTCTGAAATCTGACAACTGCATTGGAATTAGTGCAAAGTAAATTAGTGCTGGAGTTCTCTTTGTAGACAGAAAATCCATGATTTCTTGTGGTCCTGGATTCGAGATATCCCTTTGAGGTCATAGCAGGGTTTGAGCAACACTTTCTGATGACTTACAGGTCTGTCTGGCCCTCAATAGGTAAGTAACCATTCATCCATATTTTGCCCCTCCTGGTCCTATAGAAGATGAGACTAAATGCAACACACCATACCTTCACCCTGGCTAACATTAACCAATTTAGCACAGTCCAACAACAATAACAACAGCAACAAATTGCAATTGGCTGCAATTTCTTTTCTTGTTTGTGCATTTCGCCCACAAATTATAGAGTCGGTTCACTTTGCAGTATATTCTGTGAAGCGCTTTGAGATATCTCGAAGATGTGATGAGGCGTTATATCAAATACCAGGGTTATTATTATTATTATTATTTATACAGCGTCTGTCACATCAGAAGGACATCACAAGGCACTGGACAATGAAGGGTTTGCACTCAAGCAGTCCAGGATTGAACACTGCCTTCACCAACTCAGCCATTGAGGAGATGTTTGCGAGAATAGTTAACTAATAGCTAATCATCTGAGGCTCTTGCCACTTGTGCCTTACGTGATTGACAGGCATGTGGAAAATACTGATAAAAAGGCAAATGTCCGAAAATTTGCAGCAAGCTTTTCCAGCTTGAAACATATCAAATAAAAGGTCTTTGAGTACAAAGCTTTGTGTTTCTGAGATGAACTACTGCCAAGGCATTCTGACTGCAATTCCTCCTCTGAGTTACTGAATCTCAATGTCTGTTTGCTTCCAAGAGGTTCAATAAAAAAAATGTCAAAATAACTGGCGTACTAAGATTTGTCATGAAACAAATTTGTAGTTCGGCATTAGCGAAAGCTGTTTATTATTCCTCAGTTTTATATCATAATCTGGTTATCACAGAGTTCCTAAACACCAAATCATTTTCTATTTATTGCTGTATAATTTGTTCAATTTTCTGTCGCAATAGTTTGTTTAAAGCTGCAGGGCTCAGATGTAATGCACTCTCTGTAAAGACCTGACTGACTGGTTGCCTACTTAAAAGAAACCTAATTCCGAGCACACCGCAATTTAAAAATTCCTCCTTTGCAATGACAAGGCCAGAGACTGGGATTGGAAATGGTATGGATTGTGCGAAGATAGGCTTGAGCTTTGCCCCAAGCTCTGGTCTCCTGCCAATCAAAAGTCGGAATATGAAACAAAACGTCACCTTTCCCAATGTGGAGTCCAATGCATTAAAAAGGAAATATTCTCAAGATGGATTTGTTATGAATCTGGCAAGTCAATCACTGTCCTGTTCCCCTCACACCCCACCCTGTCTTCCCCCACTGCGAAAACATCTCCTATTAGACTGTCCTAGAATGATACTGATCCACTGTCCCGCTTCAAAGAGTGAACAGCCTCCCACCTCTTCTTCACCTCAACCAAAAGCAACTATCCACCTCTCCCCACGGAAAGAAAGCAGTGCACACCCTTTCACTGCTTTCTTAAAATAAATAAAATAAGCCCAACAAAAACTAGGAGTGAGGCACTGGTTCCCCTCCCCCAATTAATGAAGGAAGGCTGCATTAACAGTTGTCACTAGTCTCTTCAATGCTCTCCCCCTCCCTCATCATCTGAGTTAAAGCTGCAAGGATAACAGTCAGATCCAGAGAATGCACCACGCCCCCCACCCCCCCACCCCTCACACCCTTCAACACACATAGCACTGCTGTCTATTAGAGAAAGGCTGTATGCAAAAGTTTCAGATAAATCCATCTTGCTGACAGAAATCCACGTTAGTGTGTTCCTCCAAAAGAAAAAAAATAGAAAAAACACAAATGCAAGAATGATTAGTGCCAAACTATAGTGTGGCATGTTGCTAGGTTACCTATGCCCTTTTAGAATTTATTATGATCTTAGCACTTGTTATAAACAGCAGGATACCAATATGAGTAATCATTTAAAGAATGTTTTACTTTAATTCTGAGTTTTAAACTGGGTTTTATTTGTATTCATCAATCAAATCATGTGGAGTTTTGGGACTATCAGCCTCAGTCACAGGCACAGTCACATACCTGTGAAGTTACTGAATGGATCATTGCTCCTGAACAACGTTACCTTGTGCAATCTGGTGGAGTTCTCCAGCTCAGGAGAAAAAGGACATTTCCTCCATCATGTCCCACTCTGGACAACTAGTCCATCGAATGGCCTTGAAGAAGTCCATATTCAGGCAACCTCACATCTCTCTTTTGAAAAGGATACCTAACAGAAAAAGAGAGATAAATGAGCTAAATGCAATTCTTTGGCATTATGAGTTAAAGACTAATATAGACTCTCAATTACATCCGTAATCTCTTTTACTATCTGTTTAATCGTTAAGATCATTAATAAAGGATTTTAGCACATCCTTCGCCCAAGGCACTATTCAAAAAAGGAAAGGAGTTTCTGTCGCTATCCTGGCCAAGAAATCCCAGGTAAAATAAACATAGCTGTTTGTGGGACAATGCTGTGCACAAATTGACTGCCATGTTTTCCTACAAATACGTAGTTACTAGTAAAATCCTGTGAGGAAATTAGAATCATTTTGCTGATGTGATAAGGCGTTATATCAAAACCAAGCATTATTATTGTTTTATTTTGAGGCCCAACACTGCAATTTGCCTGTTCCATGCGAGATTAGAAATCATCTCCATCAAGAAAAATATTCCACAAGTATTGCAGCAGCTACTGCTTCCGTGTGTAACAGGAATAATATTTGCAATGTTTTGTAATCCATTTTTTGTTCTAATAAATAGAAAGAATGGGTGAAAGAAACATCACAAGTTACATAGACTGTACAGCAACAAAACAGGCCAATCAGCGCAATTACTCCATGCTGGTGTTTGTACTTCATGTGAGCCTCTTACCATTTTAATCCCCTCTCCTTATCCCTCTCCCACACTTCTATATTCCCTTCTCCCTCATGTGTTCATTGTACAGCCAGAATTTAAACAAATATACATAGCAATTAGGCTCCTCCGATGTTTTCCTTGAAATAATTGGAGCCATGTTGGCCTGACAGCTTGAAGCCTCTATTCCTCTCAACAATAGTGTTCTATCTTTACTGTGAGATTTGCTGAATTGTTCCTCTAATAGCTACAGAATTGAAGAGTTGCTGGGTTTTCTTTCTTCTCATGTCATTTTGGGCATAGGGTTGCAATTTTTTTTCTGTAGACGGTACATTTATTTCAGACTCCAATATTTGCAAGCGAGAGGACCTGGGGTTTATTGCCTTCAATAAATAAATAAATAAATAAATAAATAACATAGCAATAATTTGGTCACTCAATCCACGACTGTTCATGGGACACTGCTGTGCGCAATTGGATGCCGCGTTTTGCCCACAAAATATACATTCAATTCACTTTACAGTATATTCTGTGAAGCACTTTGAGACATCTCAAAGACATGATAAGGTGGTATATCTAATGCAAGGATTATTATCATTAATACTTCAATATACCCATTTCCAAAACCTGTGTGATGTTGCCCATTTCCTCAGGATGTTTGATGACTGCAGGGTGTCTGAAGTTGAAGCTAAGTCAGATTATTCACTACAGGAGTAATCTTGAAACAAAGCCATAATAGATGATGGCAACTTTATACTGCAGAGAGGTTTCTGTTAGAAAAGAGTTCACTGACCTGCTCTGGGGTTGATGCCTCTTCAGGAGTGAAGAAAAACACCCAAACATTTTGATTCCTACTGGTGTGTTATTAGATGCTATCGTACTGGAACTGGAATGGGGCTGAAATCCAATCCCCCAACACTTAGAACAACTAATGGTATCTCATCTTGAATATTTCTTGAACATCTACTCAGAGTGCAATTGCAAGTCAGTGCTGGTTTTGGATTATGTAGCCCACAATGTTCTGTGTAGCCACACAAATTTGGGTCCACCATCTTCTGATCCTTATAATTCTCTAAAAGCATAAATCTCATCGTAAAGACATCAGAAAAAGATTGCCATCTTTAGTGATAGATAGACAACATGATAAACCCCAAATGCAATGCTTTTAACATGCTGGTAATTCAGGTCAAAACTTCCCAAATCATCTTTTCCAGAGTTGGGAGCAGAAAACATCCACATTCGGGATTCTGGCCTCTGAATCACGTGATTGCAGCATGGCTTAGTGGCCACATGCTGACAGCATGGTTTAAGCATACAGCTTGCTCAGAAACACAATAGCCCCTCTACTATTGAGCTGTTGAGGGACGAGCTTCATCTTCAATAACAAGTTAAATTTGATTATAAAACTCTTTTTAAAAATTACCCCATTTTCCAGTTATTTTTCTCTCCCCTTGTCGGTTCCCACACTCCCTGCTCCATTCCCTGGCTGAGAGGGCAAGAAGGCAACCAGCTCACAGGACTCTGCCAACAGAGCTCTGTAGCTAGTTGCTAGGAGTTGCACAAGAGGACTTGAGTCAACTTGCTGTTCACTTTTCCCTCCATTTGTGTGTGGGGAAGCAACTTGCACCTTCTCAGCATCTTTCCTGACTTGCCCGTCCCAGCTTAATTTAATAAGCCAGCATTCAAAGACAAAAGCTATCCCTTTTTCTGCATTCTTTTATAATTCTTCATTTTAAACGACAAGGCAGTCCAACTCTTTCCCCGTCATGCGTCCATGGCTTGTGCATTTCTGGCTCGGCAGCACTATTCTCCCTAAGGATATTTTCTACAAGATCCTCAGTCACACGCAAACATCATCTCCCTAGATTTGGCAGCTCTGAATTATAAACGCACACCACACTCGCACAGATGGACAGGCAGGCCTTTGTGGCAGTGAGCCCCTTTCAAGCAAATGCATACAACCCATGAAGAGAGTGCTCCAGTCATTAGATGGAGCTTTAGTGCATTCTGTGCTTATCAGTCTCCAGACAAGGCACACAATAGCCTTAATACCATTACTGCTGGGACAACATTTGAGTAGAGCCCAGGAACCCCTACAACTAGGAAGTAAACTAAAGAATGAGTTTAAAAGCCTGGGTAAAGACTTCAGCAAACAGCGATAAGGGCCGTCTGAGAGAAGAATCAGGGCAGCTGCAGCTGAAACCTTGCTACCTTACTGGGGTTGCCCAGCAACAAGACATCCATCCCCATAGACCTCAATTCACAATTGAGGTCTGATTGCAGGCTTTAAAGGCCTGTGTCATCCCACTGGCTGTCTGGGTGTTTATTTGCTCTTTGGAAAAGAAAGCAGGCAGCGTTTGTAGTCATTTCTAAAATTAAAACATTTGTAGGTAAACTAAATGCCTCTTCAATAAAGTAATAAATAATAAAATTGTCAGTCCTGAAATCTGCTAACAGATGAATTGTGTGCACTGAGCTCTGGTAGTGAGCTTCAAAGGGATTTATCAATTTCAATCCATCTCAAATGTCTAAAAATTTGGTTATTCATAAATATTTTGCATTTGGCTCAACTTCAACTCAAAATGGTCTGTCCTTTAACAATGAGAACATGGATTTGTGCAAGGGGAAGATTTGGTAGTCTGTGTCTGAGCTGTGCATGCTTCATTGTGTTGTAGCAACTGCATGCCAAAATATGTCTGGCGACTCATTTTTGCTGAATGCTGGATAGAAAGTAGTTCAAAAATGGTAGTCTAGAAATGCACTGTGTAAACTCACACAGTGAAGGGGGGGAAAGGTGGCTGATTTTCCCCTTCCTAAGCAGAAGTGGGTTGAGTCGGGGAGAGCCAGGACACAGTGGGAAATGGGTTTCGCTCACTCCAAGGCCCCCTTGTTGAGATTGTCTGTGTGTCTCTCTCTGTATCTGTGTGTCTCTCTCCGTGTCTGTGAGTATATGTGTCTCTCTCTGTGTCTGTGGGAGTGTCTCTGTGAGTGTGTGTGTGTCTCTCTCTCTCTAACTGTGAGTGTGTGCGTCTCTGTCTCTCTGTGACTCTGAGTCTCTCTGTGTCTGTGAGTTGTGTGGCTCTCTGTATCTGTGAGTGTGTGTCTGCGAGTGTGTGTGTTTCTCCCTCTCTTTATGTGAGTGTATGTCTCTCTCTGTGTCTGTGTGCAGTAGTGGTCCAGAGAGGCAGGAGATGGTGACCTTCTGAAGTCTGCAGTTAGGACACTGGCGAGTTTGGGGAACAATGTTGGTGTTTGGCGGATCTCCAGGGCTTAAAATGTAGTGTGGGGTGAAAACAGATCATTCTATCCTTTGGGCCTGCGCTGGTGTTATTTCCCCCACCCCCTCCCCCAGGTTTTGTTAAAGGGGTTATTAATCATTATTTCTGTGTTATTTCTTCATGTTTAGTTTTTATCAACAAAGCAAAAAAATGAAAGTTGGCAGTAAAATGTACCTCTGAATAGAACCAATCAGCTCCCCACAATTTCTCCTGCAATTTGTCAATTTCCCATCCAATCTTCGGCAAATACTTCCACAATTTTCTATTGGCCCAGCTTATGACTCTGGTCTATTTGACACAGTACTGCACTGAGGCACCAAGGGCTCCACTTGGTGCCTTTACCTAGTAAGCCACAAGGCGAGCAAATATTCTTTCCTAGGTATCAACTTCCTTGTATAGCAATGGGAAAATAAAACTATTTGTGCTGAGCAATTTTTACTGACCTGGAAAGCATGGCAACTGAATAATGAAGTATGTTTAATAGTTTTTTTCAGCTGTGATGCTGGAAAACCACTTCCAACACTTCAGGGAGGCAAAGTGCCATTCAGACAAGGCATCTGCCAATGCATCCTGAAGCCTTGTGTGCTGCTTTCAGAGCTACCCACTGTGTGAAGTCTGCGCTCAGCTGGGACTCCCCAGAGGCAAGCGTAACCACATTCAAACTCACTCTTAAAAGCTGTTGTGCCTCAGAAACAGTTAGATAGCTTTAAAGAACAGAAATGTGCTCTCCCTATGAACTGGCATTGGTAGTGAATTTTATTTTTAATGTACTTTAAACATTCTATCTGTGATCGATCTCACACGGATGCCTATGTTTACAAATTATGGGCTGGAAAAGGTGATTTCAGGACATGCTCCAGGAACTATTGGAGGTTGAGGCCAGAATAGGGAAATCATTCAAGACACAGCTTGATGCCGTAATGGAGGACAGGAATGGTGGGTATTCTGAAAAAATCAAATCAAATAGTCCGCAGGGCCTTCTTCATCCAAACCTCTCTTGTGACCTAATGTGATTTGCTTTTAAAAAAATATTTTTCATTTTCGAGCTCTGATTATAAAAGCATCAAAACCACCACCCAAAACTGGTACGAGAGGC